TATATATATATATATATATATATATATATACACACACACATGTATAAATGTGTATATATATATATATATGTATAAATATATATACGTATACATGTATATATATATATACGTATATATGTATATATATGTGTGTGTGTGTGTGTATGTATATATACATATATACGTATATATATATATATGTTATATACACACACACATATATATACACGTATATATGTGTGTGTGTGTATATATATATATAGATATATATAACCATAAATTATACAAATTGAATATTAGTTCATAGAAATATTAGAGATATGATAAAATGTTCAGAGAGAATTTACTGTTTTGAGTGTCCATTACTTCTAGATCACTTAATCTGGCTCTCTTCATATTCTTTCTACCATTAATAAACTCAACCAAATGTCTTATATAGAAGAAGATGGATATGTATATCATTTATGATTTATTGGCATTTTCTATTCATTTTTTCACATTTGTTAAGAAATTATTAATAAAAAAGTTATTTTATTATATTACTCATTTAATTTTAATATAATAAATAAATATTCTGAAAAAAATTAATACACAAATAATTATATTAATGATAAAGATAAAGTAAAGAATTAAGTATAAGATTAATTATTAATTTTATAAAATAGACAATTACTACTATTTGTCCACTTTTGAATTGTTATATCATTAAAAAAATATTATTGTTATAACAATTTTACCATTTTATTCCTATTAATTATGAAGTGAATGAATCAAGTTTTAATATCTTCAAAAAGTTCAACCTTTTAAAAAATAATTATTTGTGGGTATAAATAGATGAAAAAATTATTATTTCTTGATTTGTCAAAATGGACAAGTAATTAGGAACAACTATAAAAAAAAAAGAATAATGGACAAGTAATTAGGGACAATGGAGTATGTCAAATTAAAACTCTCTTCATTTCTTTTTATATCATATTTTACATTACACTACTTGCAGTAACGAATTAAGTAATTTTATCATTTTACCCTTATTATATGTTTTCTTTAAGTTAACTTTTCAATAAATAATGAATATGCTAGATTTCAAAAATTAAACTACATTTGGATGACTTTTTAAATTTTTAAGTTATATTTAAAAATCAGATCAATTTTAAGATTAATCAACTATTCTATAAAGGATATAATACGAAGAATATAATAATTTATATATTAATTTTATAAAATAAAAAGTATTTTAATCTGATTATTTATAAAAAAAATAACATATGGTATTTTTGGACAAATAAAATATTTAAGACAATTCACATGGGCATTTTCTACTATTATTTCAAAAGTATAATATTACAAAAATTAGGGATAATGCACAAGTACCCCTCAACCTATACCCGAAATTCTAGAGACACACTTATACTATACTAAGATCCTATTATCTCCCAGAATTTATTTTATAAATAACTTTTTACTCCTTTTCGGTCTACGTGGCACCATCTTGTGGGTCAAGCATGTGTTGATATTTTTTTTCAAACTAGTGTCACGTAGGCCGAAAAGGGTAGAAAATTATTTATAAAATAAGTTCAGGGGTAATAAAACCTTAGTATAGTATAAATGTATCTCTGAAATTTTAAGCATAGGTTGAGAGGCTACTTGTTTATTTTCTCAAAATTTTATGTTAAATCAAATTACAACCATCAAATTAAAATTATCTTTTTCATCAAGTTAATGATGTCTCGTGTTCCCAAAGCATAAATAAGAGAGTTTCTCTTATTTCACTTTTGTGAAAAAAATATATAGAAAAAATCATTTACAATCATTTCATCTCATCTCATATATTAAAAATGTTAATAATATAAACAATGAGAAGAATAAAGTAGAGAGAAGAGAAAAGACATTTTATTCATTATATTCACAATAATATAAATATGTTTATAATAAAAAATAATTAGTTCATATTAGTTGCTTATTTTATTAAATTAAAAAGACATAATTAATTTATTTTTCAATATTATTCTTGTAATTAATTTTTTTTAAAATGTTCACATTCCATTGTGGAAAATATCAAGAAGTTTTTTAAGATATGAATAAATAAAAATACCCTCTTATTTATGATTTATTAAAGGGAAAATTGTATAAAATAGTAAACTAATAACCTAAATTAAATGGAATAGCTAGGGTTTGATTTAATCGTGCTCCATAGCAAACATTATCTAAAATTTGCCAGCATCTCTCTCCCAGGAATCTCGCTCGTCACTCTCCATTCTCGCTCGCCTCTCTCGCTTTATACACAGAAGTGTATAATTCTGTTTCTGTTTTGTATAAAGCGAGAGAAAATTGTATATACACATGCAAAAATGTATATCTTCATGTTATACACTTAATTATACAATTTACAAACATTTTACTTCAAAAATTGCAGAGAAAAAGGCCAAGGAATTATATAATTGCGAATTATACAATTGCAGTGAAATACAATTTTCTCTAGCTTTATACAACAGAAGTGTATATATTGTGTTTCTGTTTTTGTATAAAGCGAGAAAAACATATATTTTCTTGCTATACACTTATAATTATGCAATATACATACATTTTAATT